TAAACAAAGCAAATCTGATCCTTCCCTACTCATCTATCTATCCTCTACAGTCCAAATTTACATTCTTATCTATGTTGATGATATCCTGGTCACAGGGAACAATTTAGCAGCATTCCTCATTTTCTCTAAAACACTTGGGAGAGCTTGATTTCTTTCTTGGAATAGAGGCACACAAGCTCTCAGATGGCAGTCTTCACCTATCACAGGCTAAGTACATCAGAGATGTTCTAAATCAAGCTGGCATGCTTGAATCTAAGGGAGTTATGACACCTATGGTGAGCACTTGCAAACTGCAGAAACAAGGCAGTGATTACTACTCAAATCCTTCCCAGTATAGATCCATTGTTGGAATGTTACAATATGCAACTTTGACTAGGCCAGATATCTGTTATGCTGTCAACAAAGTGTGCCAGTTCATGGCAGAACCACTGCAGGAGCACTGGAATGCAGTGAAACACATCCTCAGATATCTCTCTGGAAGTGCAAATCATGGAATTGTCATCAGACCTATTTCCTTGTCTTCTATACCTCTACCAATATCAGCCTACTGTGATGCTGACTGGGCATCTGATCCCAATGACAGAAAGTCTACTTCTGGCTCATGCATACTTCTTGGAACCAACATCATTTCCTGGTGGTCAAGAAAACAACTTAGGGTTGCAAGATCTTCAACAGAAGCAGAGTATAGGAGTCTGGCAGACACCACTGCAGAACTCTTATGGATCCAATTTCTACTAAAAGAACTTCAAGTCCCCTTTTCTACTCCCAGAGTATACTGTGATAACCTCAGTGATGTTCAACTGTCTCACAATCCTGTTTTGCATTCCAGGATCAAGCACATGGAAATTGATCTTTTCTTTGTCAGAGAAAAAGTTCTGCTCAAGCAACTCCAAGTCTATCATATTCCCTCTCTTCATCAAATTGCAGACATACTGACCAAGCCACTCTCCAGTTCCAGATTTCTTGATTTAAAAACAAAACTTAGTGTGATTGAGTTGTCAAACCAATCACCCTAATTTTGAAGTATCTTCTTAGTGTGATTGAGTTGTCAAACCAATCACCCTAATTTTGAGGGGGGAATGTTAGATACATATCATGTAATAGACTAGAAGGATTATCCTAAACAGTATACTAGTTGGGGACCCGGTTGTTATGGAGTCAGTTAGACTTATAACCAACTGTATAAATACTTGTACTCAGTTCATTGTTGTAATCAATCTGAAATAGTTTCATCTCTTATCTTCTTCTTCTTCTATTACATGGGGTGAGTGTTAATCAGAGGAGCATTAGATTCAGAAGAAGAGGATAATGAGTGTGATGCAGATGAAGTAGACTGTGAAGGTGAAGGAGTGGGAACAGAATTAGGCTGAGATGAATTAAGGTGTAAGTGGGAAGGAGTAGAGATAGATTGAGAGTTATTATGTTGTGATTGAGAGGGAGAAGAACCTTGTTGAGAAGAATCTGTTTGGGATAAAGAAGTGGAAGAATCAGATTGAGAAGAGGAATTGGAAGGGACAATGGTTATGGGAAAAGACCGTGAAGAAGTGGAGATACAGGGCTGGTGAGGAATTGAAGTGAAAAGAATGGGATAAGGGAATTTGGACTCATTAAAAACCACATCTCTGGAGATATAGACTTTCCCAGAAGGTGAGAGGCACTTGTAGCCTTTGTGTTGGGAAGAATAACCTATAAACACACACTCTTCAGAGTGAAAATCCATTTTGTGTTTATTGTAAGGTCTGATAAAAGGAAAACATGAACATCCAAAGACTCTGAGAAATGAATAATCTGGAATAGAGCCATATAGCTTAAAATATGGACTTGAATTTGCAATTGACTTTGAGGGAGTTCTATTTGAAAGGTGAACAGAGGTTGCAAATGCAGCATCACAGAATTTATGTGGTAAAGAAGAATGAGCTAGAAGAGACAGACCCTTCTCAACAATTGTTCTATGTTTTCTTTCAACAACACCATTTTGGTGATGAGTGTGAGGACAAATGATTCTATGTGTGATGCCTTTGTCAGTGAGGAATGTGGTAAAGGATCTAAACTCACCTCCCCAATCAGATTGAAGAGATTTAATAGAAACAGAAAACTGGTTGAGAACATATTGGTAAAAGTTTTGAAAGGCAGTAAGGGCATCAGATTTCTTTTTCAAAAAGTAAATCCAAGTATATCTTGTGTAAGCATCAATGAATGAAATATAGTAAGAGTATCCATCAAAAGATGACATGGGAGCTGGTCCCCAAAGATCAGTGAATACCAATTCAAATGGTGAATGAAAGATGGTAGTAGAGGGAAAAGATGGAAGTCTATGTGCTTTACCAAGACAACAAGAAGAGCAGAAATCAATATTATTTTTATTAGTAGATGTAACATTACAATGTTGCATTACAGATTTGAGAGCCTCAAAGTGAGGGTGGCCTAATCTCAAATGCCACAAATTACAAGAAGGAGAATTATTACAAGATTGAACATGATTACATGACTTATTTTGAGACAAAGATTGACTGGAAACAAGAGCTGGAAGGGATTGAAATTTGTAGAGACCATCTGCACCTAGAATGCCATGTAGAAGGACCTTTTTAGAAGCCTGTGATTTAACAAAACACTCATGAGCATGAAACTCAAAGAAAACATTATTATCTCTTGCAAACTGACTAACACTTAGTAAGTTTTTGGTTATGGAAGGAACATGGAGAATGTTGTTAAGTAAGAGTGTATAAGAAGGATGAAAAGGAGAAGAAAAGGAAGAAAAACCAATCGACTTAATGTCCAAACCTTGACCATTGCCCATGAACAGCTTGTCAGTGGTAGCAAGTGGCTCACTATGTTGAATGTTGAGAGGATCAGGGGTGACATGGTGTGAAGCTCCAGAATCTGGAAACCAATTCTGTACATTAGGAGGTGGTCCTAGCAATGAAGTGTTTGCAGAAGCCCAAGCTGCAGTTGGAGTAGGTTGATTTTGAGATGATGATGAAAAATGATAATTGGTAGGCCCCCAATTTGTATTCTGAGAGTGCTGATTTGGAATATAGCTTGGTGTTGGTTGGGTAAACTGTGGATATGGATGAGGATGGGATGGAGAATAGTTATTGTGAGGATGAGGTGTAGGTTGTGGAGGATAAGAGCGATAAGGATGAGATGTAGGTTGTGGTAATGAAGGATTAGATACTGTGTAGGTAGAATTATGGTTTGATAATGTAGGGTTAGAGACTGTATAGGCAGGATTATACCTGTGATAGCAAATAAGAGCACTATGACCAACCTTGCTACAAACTTGACAAATGACAGAACTGCGACCACCAGATCTGCCACCTCTTCCTCTGTTAAAACCTCCGCGGCCTCTACCTCTGTAGGTAGTGTTTGTACCAGGATTGTCATATTGAGCAATTTGTGCAGATGGACTTTCTGAGGAGTTTTGTGAATCAGTATCAGTTTGTACAGGTGTTTCTTCAAGTTGAGCAACATTTGCAGAGAATATAGTCTGTTGCGAAGAGTCTCGAAGCTTTCTTATTCGCAGCTCTTTAGCTAGCAGGAGAGATTCAAGCTCAGATAAAGTAACAGGATCTAGAATGCTTCTGGATGTGACAGAAGATACGATTGAATCGTATTCTTCTGGGAGGCCTTCAAGGATCACGTTGATATGATCCTTTGTTGAAATAGGTTCACCAACGGAAGTTAGGTTATCAATGATGGTCTGAATACGAAGGAGATAATCAGAAATGGAGCGATCACCTTTTCCAGTGTTATACAGCTCGGATTTCAGCTGGCGAGCCTTCGCGACAATATTCGACCGGAAGAAATGCTTGATTTCACTCCAGAGCTGATGCGAGAAAGTGCAATTGATGACACGAGCATGAAACGATTCCGAAAGAGATGCCAATAACCACGAAAACAGCGTTTGATCTTGCTGTTCCCAAACACAGTAATCTTCATTGATAGTCTTTGTCGCGCCATTATCACTAATGATAAATTGATCTGGAATTTGAGGATTTTCAATGAATTTTTGAAGTTTGTGAGCTCAAATCACAGATTTGACATGATGTTTCCAGAAAAAAAATTATTGGAATCAAGTTTGATTGGTAAGGGATGATGAAAGATTATAGGAGAATTTTGAGAGATTGAGTGAGAAGAAGCTGAATCAGATGTCGAGTTCATCATCCTTGAAAACGAAGGAGCTCTATGGCTCTGATACCATAATAGAATTTCAGATAGAATGAATGAGGAAGAAGATAATTCTCATTAACTGTAATGAAGAGTACAGAGAGTATTTATAGAAAGCTACAGCTCAACTGAACTAACTAACTAACTGAAATACAACTGACTTATACTAATACAATTCGTATAGTATATCTAACAAAATCTAAATACATGAATTAAGTTATTTTTATTTTTAGGTACATAAAACAAAGGGAAAAATGAATACTATAGCTTTCAAAGGTGAAAATCTTTGGTGGGTGTCCAAAAATGATCAGAAAAATGTTAAATTTGATCCATTTGAAACTTTAGTGTCCAATATGTGATACACATGTAGCCATAGTGTCCAATTTGGTCCATTTGAAACCTTAGTGTCCAATATGAGATTCTCATATAACCATAGTGTCCAAATTGATCCTTATCCCCTCATATAAATGCATGTCTAAGTTTGCTCGTCATATATTAGGAATTTGTGAATGTTTTAGTTACATATAAATAAATTTCCCTCGCCTTAATCTCAACTACAACTGGGTCAATGTCATGAAATTTTTAGTCTCAAAATGTCAATTAGCTTAACCTATAAGCTGTGCAAAGTTTTACATCATATAACATTCCTATGCTGCAGGCCTACAGCCTTTTTTGAAGGAAAAATGAGTGGAGTATCATGAGCCACTACGATTTGAGATACTTAGTCATTTCCCATTTCAAAAATGGTAATGTGAAATAAGCATACACATCATGGAGCCTTCAAAAGAGTGAAGGACATATGCTTTAGAATTATGAGACCAGAAGAAGGAAACCTGCTCGACCAAAGCCACTGTTGGAGCAAGAAAGATGCATACATTCTTCTGGGGTTTCTTTATCAAGTGGGCCATTTCATACATAAGCAGAACAGCAATATGTGTTTTGCCACAACCAGTTCCTAGATATATAACAGCATTCTCTTTTAGAGCTTTCCCACACAAATCAATCTGGTACCTGTGAAGATTCATTCAGTTCAGCATGTTTCCTTATGTATGCTTAATGAAAAAGATGACTCACATGGCTAAACTAATTGCATTAAATATTCAACTACTGAAGTTCATATCCAAATTGTTGTCACTTATGAGATAAAATATGCTGAAAGCTCTCAATTCAGATTTTAAAATGGGTGACATATTACAGGATTTATTGCCAAAAAATCAACTGTTGAAAGGAATTATCTCTGCTCCAGACAGGGGAATATGTAAGAACAAGAGAATAAGGATGTGTGTGTATACACACAAACCTTCATGAGCTATGTAAAGGCTAAATGTGTGTAATAATCCATTTCGAAAGAATACTGTGTTTTCCATCATTTGCAATGGAGCCAAAGATTCATTATTTTTTGGCTTGAGATTATGATGGAATAAAGTAAAATGGCTCACTAAACTGTCTGCGCTTCTTTGTTATGAAGCAGCAGTTAGTCTATGCAATTTTGGACGGGATTTTCACTGTGGGTCATCTGGAAACAGTCTCTCTGTGCTTTAGTACAGGGGTAAGATTGCGTACATCCGACCCCCCTTACCCCACCGTAGGTGGGAGCCTTTGCGGCACTGGGGTAAATGAAAATGATCTGAATTTGTTAAGGGTTTCCATCATTTCCAATGGAGCCAACGACTCACTACATTTTTGCTTGGGAATATGATGGAATGAAGTAAAATGGCTCACTATATTGTCTGTGCTTTTTTAAGCAGCAATCGGTCCATGCAATTTTCGACGCGGTTTCATCATGGGTCATACAGAAACGGTCTCTCTTTACTTTAGTATAAGGGTAAGGCTGCGTGCATCCGACTCCCTACACCAACGTAGGTGGGAACCTTGAGACATTGGGTAATGTTGCAGTTGTTATGGATACACATGAGACTTTACTAAAGTAAATAAATCTAACCTTTCATAACATATAGTCATAATTAATCAATATTAAAAGGTATGTTAATCACAAACCAAGTTTTTTTAGAACAATCACAAACCAAGTTAAAAAGTACATAGTATAATAAGTTGATAAAATTAGATGTTATGTGAAAAAGTTGCATAATCATATAGTATTTCCAATGTTACCATGGGTCAGGTTCATGGTGCAACATTTCTACACCATACAACTATACAAGGGATACCTTTCTTTTCCAGAGGATTATCTATGTGCTATGGTATATGGTCCAAAATGCCCAAGGGGCAGGGGGTCCTGATTAAACTTTGAGTGTATAGGCAAGTGGAACTTGGAAAGTCGTCCTGGTGTTGAAAATCAATGAGAAAAACATTCGCGCAGTAGTATCATAGCATGCATAAATGCATATTTGCGATCTACAAACTCACATCCGGGTGTTGGGACACTTCCTCTAGCGAATCTCATCATCCACATCTCTCAAGGGTTGAAGATAAAACTAACAGGAGTCTAAAAGCTGTTGGCGCCCAAGAAGCTCATCAGCAAGAAAAAATAGTAATGATAAATAAACAATCACAAATAAACCCTCACAAAATCAAAACCTGTGACGTGTAAGTTAACCATATATGATTCAAAACGCAGGTTTTTATAAAAAATCTTGACAGCATGACCAAATGGGCGCCGAACCAGTTGGTAAAGCCAAAGGTACACAGCACAAATAGCATAAAAAATCTATAACTCGTTACATGAAATGGAAGTATGTAACAAACAAATGTATGATAAACCCAAATTCCATACTTTCTCGCGACTCTTCTGGGATCCTTCACGGGGTTGGATTCCTCTACCGTGGCCTCTTCGTCGTCATTCAGAGACAATTCACAAAGCTCGTCGGTGATCAATGAAGCTCCGAAGGGTGTGGAGCACTCTGGTGATTCTGGTGTGGTCTCATTGCTCCGGTGATCGCCGTTCATGGTAGGGAACCGTGGTGGTCCGGCTATAGTCACCGAGAAATTTGACTTTATTTGACTTAGAGTGGAGTCCAAGCGTCAGTATTCTTGTGAACTAGGCCCCTGCCCACCCCCATTTTATAGGTACTGATGTGGGACTGATGCGTCAGTGCGGGGTTATGGAATCATCAATCATGACTGACGGATACCAGAATCAATCGGGCTGTGATGAAATTGGGTGACCCCGGAATTTTCGGTTTTACATTTTTTGGAATATCTTTCTAATCCTATTGTAATATCTATTCATTCAGGATAATGCCAACATATTGCGATTTAAGTCTTTATACTCCCTCCGTCCCTTATAACTTTGACAACTTTCCTTTTTTGTTTGTCCCAAAAACTTTGTCACTTTCCCTTTTAATCAATCAATTTGTGGTTCATGTTATTTCTCTCTCCTCTGCACAAATCTCTACCACACAGTTTTTACTTTATTATTCTACGTGTCAGTCAAACTTGGCAATCCTTTTAGGGACGGAGGGAGTATATTTTAGGGGTCACTATTTCATTCAGATTGCGATTTGGATGGCGTGAAGTTTTTTTTATCGTACTATACCACCTTAGTTGGTACTTTTTCATCTAATAAGATAGATTCTATCGTACCCTTAAGGTACCATACATTTGTGCACATTGACCAATCAGAATGATGTAGTTGAATTATTTAAATCTAAATTAAAAATGATATAATGATTTGAACCAATCAAGTGAGTGGTAGGTACGGTACCCCTTTTTTTAAATGGGTATCAGAGTTGTCACCTTTTTTATTTGATACACTTTGGATGGAACCTTGAATAATATAATCAATGGGGTTAGATTTGCTAATGAAATGTGTTGAGATTTAGTCCTGAATGACCCGAAGGTCCAACACTAACTTTGGATCTTGGGTTGGATTGCTACAGTAATGTGTATAAAAGGAAATATAAAATCTGATTCAACTACTCAAACAACTCAACTTGTATTAACGCAGTAATAACAATTACACAGAAATGGCCGAACGGTAGTTACGGTTCAAAGGCTAATACGAGAGCTAGAATGCACTATAAGCTTGTGAGTAAACAAATGCTAACTCCTATTCATGATTTAAATGCTGCTATTTATACTAGATGAGGGTATAGGGTGCTCGAGTGTGATTGGTTGCCTCTCATGCCACTTGATGCCCCCCATGATCCAACATTAACTGCAGTCGGTTACTTGAGCAATCCTCGTTCAGAATTAAATCCAGTTAAGCCACTAACTAGGAATAAGCTAATCACTTTTTTTAAAAAAAGAAGATTTTATTCATAAAGATTAAAGTACAATGCAAGATGCGAAATAAAAGTAAAGTACAAAGAAGAACGATACAAAGAAAAAAACAAAAACTAGATCTAAGGAAAATCTCTGGACTGTGATCTAGTCTTCATGCTATGTCACCTTTTGTTTTGCTCAGATTTCCTGTAAAGTTTGAGTTGCGTATTCAGGTTCTCTGTTGGCAGACAATTTTCTGAGGTGACAAACTTTGAATTGCGGCAAATCCTTCTGTTGAAATTGGAATTCTCAATTTCTTCCTGGTTTGATATAGGAGGTCGACGATCACTTTCGGTTGCATGTCCTAGAAAATTGTCTGAGAAGAAAGACTCATCAGAATGGTCAAAGCTGTCCGAGGCATCAGAATACGCCTGAATAAGTGGAATATGTGGTAGTTTCTCAAAAGAGAGGGGCTTTTCCTTTTCGCCATAGGCTTTCTGCACTTCAAAGTTAAAAATTAGTTTGGAAATGGTTATTTCCTCGGTATTAACGGTTAACGCATGCTCCAAATGAGTGAGATCCTCCTGCACCGAAATAGTCATTCCAACGAAATTAGAAAACACCGCTAATAAAGCTTTTAGGTTGGAATTCTCTATACCCATAGGGAACAGAATAGAGCTCCGTTTTTCTTTAGCGATTTTCAAGTATCGACCTGAGTTACTGAAATCTGAGGTAACCGTGATTTCACCAAATCTCCTGCTCTGCCTAGAGTTAAAATTTGATAGTTGGTTGGTAAAGCGGCAGATATTGGGCGCTAACTCTGAGCTGAAATTAATCCTAAATAGCGTTGATTTTTTTATTTGGAAAATGTCAATTTTTACGTTGCTGACAGCAAATCTAAAGAGCGTGGATCCAATTTTGAGGGAATCAAAACCTTCCTCTCCGTAGAAATTAAATTTTTCTGCATCTGTGGATAAATCATCTCGATTTTCCTGAATTAATTCTCCCTGAATTAATTCTGCCCGGTCCAAGACTGAGTCAGAAATAACGTGTCCGGTTTTTGCCTTATCATTAGGATTATCTGTTTCAGGCCGAAGTAGGTCAACCCATGTAAGGGAGGGGAAAGTTCCATGCGTTGTCAACACGGTACCCTGCCTTTCTACGTTTGATGTCACGCCCCGGACCTACTCGAACACGTCAACAACCTGCCGTACAGTACGAATAGTCAACCGCAGTTCAACACATCCATACTATACAAGGCGTCTGGAATATCATTCACACATAGTACATCCATAAACAAACATAATGTAAAAACATTCATTAAAGCAGCAGAAACATTAATACAAGTATTCAAGCCACACTTGGCATCATTAGGCATGCAAGCCCCCAAATAATTATTCAAAAATAATACTACGTAATATCCATGAGCATTAATGTAATTGTTTTTAAAATAGAACGGAAGAAGCACGAACCACGTCTTCTTCCTCGATCTTCCCGAACAACGGGCACTGGTAGCAACCTTCAAGTCCTACCTGAAAATATGAGGTGGCCTCCCCCGTGAAAGGGAGGTCAGTACTTGGAAGCATTTGACAAGTACAATGACAACTACACTAAGTATAATCAATGTTTCAATTTCTAAGACCCTCATTCTAGGGTAATATGTATATATAGGCCATAACCCTCGGTTACCCCTTTTTAAAATATTATACTTATTGTTGGTCCCGTTTATATTAGGAACAATCTAGAGGGGGGTGAATAGACTGTTCAGGATTTTCAAAAACTTTTCTCTAAGTCAATACTGACTTATCAGAGAAGGTCGAAATCTGGTGACAGAGAAGGTCAAGTTCTGATGGCAGAGCTAGACCTGGCAGCGGATTGGTTTCTGTCCGGGTAGCCTCAGGAAAAACACTAAGGCAAATGCCTTTCTGATAACTCTCAAGGAAGATCTGCTGGACATAGAGTTCAACCTTTTTAGTTATGCAGTCAAAGTCTAAAATGCAGAAAGTAAATGCGAAAAGTAAGTGACACCGGGGATTTTTATAGTGGTTCGAGGAACAGTTAACAGTTACAACGCCTTAGTCCCTAGCACTTAAGAAGCACTCCTCGTCTTCTTCAAGCCTAGTTGCCACCCGGGATGCAGTCCTGCTTCCTGATGGCTGGTCTCGTTTCACTGAGTCTCTTGGAAGTATCTCCACTTCACTTACTCCAGTTAGTTTGAGACGTCCCTTCTTTTTCAAGAAGTATTTGATGTAAAAACAGATCTCTCCAACGTAGCTTCTTCACAAAGGATGTGTAAGTGAGACTTTCGAAGTGTTGAAGAATTGGAGGAACTTTGCTCTTTGTTGGACAAGAGGATAAGAGGTTGATATCTTTCCAACGTAAGCTTTTCTTGTTTAAGTGAATGAATTTTTGAATCTCAAGAAAGCTTGTAAGCTGAAGTGTAGAGCAGGAGTTCTCCTGTAGTTCTTTGAAGTGTATCTTATATACTGGGAGCAGTCTTCCCGTTGGAGTGTAGAAGACAGCTTCATTAAATGCTTGTACTGTTGATTTGACCGGTTGGACCTTCGACTTGCTATTTTGGGGGCGAAAAGATACCCGCATGGTCAATCATCAGTTTTAAATATATCTTCGTACGTACAACATTAATTGAGCATTTAATGCGTGTACAATACCATGTTTCCGTCGAATGGCTCCTAGCCATTAGGGAATTTCTCGTTAGTTTCACGGCCGTTGGAAAGTGTCTTCGAATTCTGCTAAGTAAGAGCAAGTCTGATGAGGCTTTCTGGTCCGAACTCTTATGTCTGCCTCTGATGCCAACTCTGGTACCCAACTCTGGTAGCTTCTCTGGAGAGCAACTCTGGGAGCAACTCTGGTAGATGTTCTGATCAAGAAGACAAAGAGGGTTTCTGGCACGTCGACTATGCTAATACTTACAAAGAAATTTTTAATACAAAATCTCTATAGGGGTACCTTCAAATTCTAATTAACCTAGCATCATCAAAATCTAATTACATTTATTCCTTACAATTTCCCCCTTTTTGATGATGCCAAAACCCTTTAACTATTTCCAGAGAAGTGTCTTCACCATAAAAGGGTTAAAGTTTAAAACTTTCATTAAAATCTTGGTGGGCAACTTAGCATAGGAGAATAGCAAGAGTACGGTACAATCAGATAGCAAATGATAAAGAACAAGGTAACAGAGCAGGAAACAAATATAAACACAGAAAGCAAGTATGAACAGATAATTGAACATGCCATGCAAAGTAGAGGCAGAGTTGGTATCTTATATTCAGAGAATACAAATACAAGAGATAGAAGAATTTAAGAGTCTTCTTCTCCTACCTGTGCATCAGCTTCATCAATTCTCTTGAGCTCTGCATTGACTTTGGCTCTGATGGAGGCTAGATTCCTCGGATGCTGGCATTCTGCCTAGTGAGGTTCTAACTTGCAGTCCAAATAGTTTCTCACTGCTTCCGATATGTTCTTTCCTGGAATGACCTTCATTTGCCACCAGACTTCAGCTTCTTGTAAAGAGCCACCATGGTTGATCTGGACAAGTCCATCACTGTCCATGAATAGGTTTTCTTATTGTAGTGGAGCCATGAGCTTCTTCATCTGAGTGAACTGAGCTCTGTGTGGTCTTGACATCCCACTTTTCATCCATTCATTGATTGAGAAGTTTGAAGATTTCTTCCTGGAGCTCTTAGGGGGTGGGAGAGAAGGTCTGATGCCTGCAGTAGCTAGCTTCTTCTTCTTTGCAGCTTCAAAGTAAGGAGCAGGATCAACAGATGAAGAGTTTTTGAAGGGTAAGGTTCTGGTGCTTGGGCCTTCTTCTTCTCTAGTCTCTTCCCCCTTTTTGGCATCAACAAGATCGCCAAGGAGAAGTTCAATTTTTGAGAACTCTGAAGCTTGCGCATCTCTGATTTCTTCAAGGGCTTCAGGCAACGTCTGAGTAACAGAGGCCAGTCCCTCAATCAAACTCTGTTGTCTTTCCATTGTTGATTGAATGCTTTGAGTGCTGGC